GCTGGGAGGTGCCTGTCCATTAAAGTTTCCCAAGGATGGCCGAGTGCTGTGATGTGCCCAGTGTGGGTACTCTGGGCAATCCAAGCCAGGACTGCTTTGCAAGCGGGGCACCCCTGAGAACTGTCTGTCCGGGGTGGGGGTCGGGTCCCTTTAAGCACAGCCCTTGGCTAGCCTGAGACAGCATCTCCACGCTCTAAGTCCTCCTCTGATGCCCTGCCGGCACTGCTTCCGGCCATCCTTAACCCCGGTTCAGGGTCCACTTAATGTGGACGACCCTTTAAGCGCAGCCCTCGGCTAGCCTGAGACAGCATCTCCACGCTATAAGTCCTCCTCTGATGCCCTGCCGTCACTGCTTCCGGCCATCCTTAAGCCCTGTTCAGAGTCCACTCAATGTGGACTTGCTAGTTCGAATTAGCAAAACGCTAATTCGAACTAGTTTTTAGTTCTAGATGCGTTAGTTCGAATTAGCTTAGTTCGAATTAACTAATTCGAACTAAGTTAGTTCGAATTAACGTTGTAGTGTAGACGTACCCCCCTTCTTAATCCCTCTGCCAGTGTTAAGACCTCCATTTCACCAAGCTATTCCTCCTCAGTGTGGCAGAGGCTTTAAGAACAGACCTGGTTGTAACAGGGCCTTCATGGGACACCACTGAGAACACCAAATTCCAGTCATACTGCAGAAATAAAGCCAATACACCTCAAAATGTTGGTGGGCATTGTGCCAGAAAATATATCAAAGCAACTGCAAAGAGGGAAATTTCTGTTTCACCACACTGGCTAACAAGATGTCATAAAAGCAGTTCCTGAAGTATTCCTAGCTTTGTTTCACACCCCGAAACACTGAATTCAGAGATAAGTGGTTCTGTGCAACCAGCCTCATCAAAGAAAAGGTTCTTCTGAGCCTCTCTAAGGACCAGCCACACACCCAAGTTAATATACAATTCACATCTTACCCCAAAATTACACTGTGGCTAATCCTGTAGAAAGAAAGCATTGAGTCAAATGAAATAAAATCTTAAATGATCCAAATTGTAACATAGAATCTGTATGGATAGTAATTCCATGCTCAGATCATTTGAATATAGCAGTAAGGACATATTGCTGACCACCTGATTAGCATGGTGATAGTGACTGTGAAATGCTTAAGAAGATTGGAGAATCTATAAAAACAAAATACTCAGTAATAATGGAGGATTTCAATGTCCCCTTATTGACTGGGTACAGGTCACCTCAGGACAGGATGTAGAGACAGTTTCTTGACATCTTGAATGACTGTTTGTTAGAGTAGCTAGTCCTGGAACCCACAAGAGGAAAGACAACTCTTGATTTATTCCTAAGTGGATCATAGGATCTAGTCCAAGAGGTGAATATAGCTAGACTGCTTGGTAAAAATAGCGACCATAATTTACTTACATTGAACATCCTTGTGGTGAGGAAAACACTCCAGCAACCCGACACTGTACATTTTAATGTCAGAAAGGGGGCTAGATAAAAATGAGGAAGTTAGTAGAATAGAAATTAAAAGGTACAGTGCCAAAAGTGAAATCTCAGCAAGAAGCATGGAAACTTTTAAAAGATATCATAATAGAAACCCAACTTAAATATATACCCAAATTAAAAATTGTAGTATGATAACCAAAAAATTACTACCAGGGCTAAATTAAAGAAAGTAAAAGAAACAGTGAGAGATAAAAATGCATTCTTTAAAAAATGGAAGTTAAATCTTAGTGAGAGAAATAGAAAGGAACATAAACTCAGGCAAATGAAGTGTAGGAATATAAATAAATAGGAAGGCCAAAAAAGAATTTGAAGAACAGCTAGTCAAAGACTCAAAAAGTAATACAAAAAAAATTGTTAAGTACATCAGAAGCAGGAAGCCTGCTAAACAACCAGTGGAACCACTGGACAATCGAGATGATAACAGAGCACTCAAGCATGATAAAAATCATTACAGAGAAACTACATGAATTATTTGCATTGGTTTTCATAACTGAGGGTGTGAGAGAGATTTCCAAACCTGAGCCATTCCTTTTAGGTGGCAAATCTGAGGAACTGTTCCTTTAGAAAGGATTTTGGAACAAACTGATAAAATAACAGTAATAAGTCATCAGAACCAGATGATATTCACTCAAGAGTTCTAGAGGAACTCAAATATGAAATTGCAGAATTACTCACTGTGGTTTGTAACCTATCCTTTAAATCAGCTTCTGTGCCAAATGACAGGAGGATCACTACAGAGGTGATCCCAGCAATTAGAGTCCGATAAGTCTGACTTCAATACTGGGCAAACCAGTTGAAACTATAGTACAGAACAAAATTATCAGCTATATAGATGCACTTAATTTATACTTGGTAGGGAAAATTCAATATGATTTTTGTAAAGGAAAATCATGCCTCACCAAGCTATTAGAATTCTTTCAGGGGCTCAACAAGCATGTGGATAAAGGGGATCCAGTGGATATAGTGTTCTTAGATTTTCAGAAAGCCTTTGACAAGGTCCCTCACCAAAGGCTCTTAAGCAGAATAGCTGCCATGGGACAAAAGGGAAGGTCCTTTCACAACAGCCTTCCAAGAAGAGCAATAGGGACAAAAAACCTTGTTTCAAAACTGAGCTTGATAAGTAGGGCTGTGAAGTGATTTAAAAAAATAGCTACAATTTTTTCAAGGCTAAATTCCAATAACATTGATGTACTTCAAGTCTGCAGTACCATTTACACACTACACAAGCTTTCACCTCTAGTTCATATGCTACACATAACCCAGTGACAGCAAATGAAGCTTGCCAGCCATGGAAGAATATGCTTACAGAGTTTCAGGATGGGTACAAGCCCATGGATCAAAGTACAACAGCTTAACCAGTGCTATTGAAAAATGGGTAACTATGAACTACAGTGCACTTACCATGGAAAATTACTGAGGTCTAAGAGGTACTATCCAAATTGCATCTGCTAATCAGACATACCCTTGCTTTCTCCAGGAAACATTGAACCATGAATGTATGATCTATGTCACAATGAGAAGAGTACAAAGTTGGAGCTTCTGAAAAATGTACTAGCTGTTGCTTTGACTGGTGATCACTGGGCATCCTTGAGCAATCACAGCTCTCTTGGAATCCTAGCACACCTGATTGATACTACCTGGACAGTGCAGCCATTTGCTTTAACAGTAACACATTCTGAAGAGAAACATTATGCTGAAACATTCATAGGGCATTTTTTGGATGTTGTGAAAGGATGGGATATTCAAGAAAAGGTAACAACAATTAGTACTAACAGCGTGATCAAAACTGTAATTCATCTTGATTAATTTTTTAAATTGTGATTAATTTGTTTTGTGTTAATTGCTGACAGCCCTAATTTGTACACTGCTATCCCAATTCACTTGTGTCCTTTTCAGAGCAGAAGGAATTCCTTGATATCCCCTGTAACTCCTTCTGATCAACCAGTGTGCCAGGAACATAGACAAAATAGGCTACAAATACCTTGCTGTACCTCCCCCCAATTAACCAATTCTGGAGCTGATAAAAAGCCCTTTGAAGTGTGTTTTAGTTTTTCTATTGACTTAAGATCAGGTATGCTCAAGTCTTAAATTCTAGAGTAGCATATAGAAAGGTGATTCATTCACACCAGGTTGTATAGTTAGGAATAAAGGCAGGAAAATATGCAGAAAAATTAAGAAAAGAAAAACATAAAACACAACAAAACTTTAACCCTAGCAGTAATTATGAATTCAAAAGAATCAGGTTTTTCTCTTTTGATCAGTACTTGTTACTGGATTGTTCTTATCTTCACTAACTTTGGCTCTAGTATGAGCCCTAACGCTTTTCTGTTTTAGTATATTGTACACCCTTGATTCTCCAGGCATTGAGAAGGATCACCCAATTCAACAGTCATCTTTCCTAAAGCTCCCTACAACCAGTAAGTAAACTTCAACCACACCCTTCTGTCAAAGGACAAACTCTCTTCAAGAAACTGATTTTCCTGCTCTTCACTGTAGAATACTTGAATAAGAAAGTAAACAGAATGCTCTTCAGGAAGTTGCCATAGTGATTAGTGATGCTTTAGTGTTGTCTGAGATTAAATAGAAATGGGAAGAAATTACAGTGAGAATTTGTATGCCAAAGTTTATCATTCTTCCATAATTCAAAAATTGCTGAACTGTTTACCTACAATTTTTCTAAAACATGAACAACCACATTAGGGCTAAGGCCAAGTTTTCACTTGGAAAGAAATTAACTGTAGTGTTTGCGACTTAGGAACACTCAAATTAGAAAACACTTAATTCTACTTTTAAAGATGCAGCAAATAAGAAATAATAAGAGAGAATTAAAAATGGAAAGATGTGGAAGTGCAAATAACTGCTTTGGATAATGGCATTGGGTGTAATGCCCAGATACTCTCAGCAGTCTATTTTCTTGTTAACAAGAATTGGCAATGTCCTAGTTCTTTTAATTTGGAGTCAAAGAAAAACACCAACCTCAAAGTTAATTCTGGAAAATTACTCCAGGCCTCGTACTGGATAAAAGGGAGGTGTTTTGTTACCTTTAGTGTCAATTCAGTAGTGGTCTTAGTCTGAATATCGGGGATGGAGCAAATCATGTTCTATAAAAAGAAAGTACAGTACTGGGAAAATAATTCATTTTAACTGCCCCTAAGATCATACATGAGGAGAGAAGGCAAAAGAAGAACGTGGTTTGGGAAGGAGCTTGAGAATTCTCTACTTGATTTGTTATAAGGAAAAAGAAGTAACTTCTATTAACATCTGACTTAGGGATCTGAAAAAACCCCAGATAGTCTTCAGAGATTATAGTGGGAACAGTGGAGGCTAAGTCATGAGAATATAATAATAGGAAACCTTTGATGAGAAACACTTGAGAGCCTACTGAAGTTTAACAGGCCTGGGGAGCAGATGCCTTTCATTTACATCAATTACACTGTTACTCTGGATGTACTTAGATACTGTCTATGTCATAAAGGGGCTTTCTTGTTACATGCCTCAGTTTGAAAAGCATGGTCCTGTCTCTGGCCATGCTGAAAATCAGTTTTGAGCAGGGAGAGATCGAGGCAGCTTCTGGCATTTGGCCTCAGCATTGGATACACTACAGTTATAAACCAGCTGAGAGTTTGGAGAAGATAAAGACAAAAGAAACAGGACATCACTAGAATTATATTTTAAACAGAGGTGAGCAGATGTACCCACTATTACTGTAGAATACTAGTCAACTTGATTTTTAGCTAGCTTTGCTCATGTAATTGTAGCCCCAAACTGCATAAGGACTGTTTAATACAGATCTGAAAGAAAATGATAACTGAGATTAAGAGAAATTAAAAGGCTTCTGCAAGGGAGAAAAGATGGGTATGGTTCACCACTTGACATTATTCAGGTTTTACATTGATGTAATACCATGGAAATCAGTGTAAAACTGGAGTAACCCAGTAATAATTCAATCCCATGTTAAATGAGATTTGAAAAGAGATGGAGAATCAGTGAGACAGAGAGACACAGAGATAATAGCAGTAAATTTGACACGGACATTTAGTATATACAGAAGATTCATAGATTCTTAGATCCCAAAGCCAGAATGGACAACTGTAATAATCTAAGATGCCCGCCAGTATAACTCAGGCCATGGAATTTTCCCTAGATAATTCCTGGAATAGATCTTTTAGAAAAATATCCAATCTTGATTTAAAAAGCATCAGCAATGGGGAATCCACTCTGATCTTTGGTAATGTGTTTATGCTACGCTATGGAAAATTAGTCAGAATTCAACCCCCTATCTTTCCTCTGATATTGAGATCATCTTATTAAATGATCCATTAGACAAAAAGCCAAGACTCAACTCTTAGCTGATACACACAAGGGGTCAAATAAGAAAGCTGAGGCCTATACAAAATTAAGAAAAAGAAATAATGTATAGAAATGAAACATGCATTAGTCACAGATTTAGAATCAAGCATTTATTAGAAAAAAGATTAAACAACCTTAGAAGTCAAAGAAATTCCTGTAATTTATGTGGTAACTGTTGATAGTCTTAGTGAAGGAGAAACCTATGGGGGGAAAAGGAGATAAAAGAGATTATGTGAAAGATGCTAAATTATTGGAATCTTTTCATTCCCAGATATCATCACAAGCACTTGACTATATTGCTTCAGTTAACAGTAATGTAAAGTCTAGTAGAATTATGTTAGAATTAGCTGAGGAAAAGGTTTTAAAGCCTACAATAATATCTGGCCCTAAAAAGGGTTTAACTTACCCTAGACATAAATAAAAATTATGAAAGGTTGTGCTGAGAATTTGCTTGCAATAGCCAGACATTACTAATCCCACAGCTCCGGCTTGACCACAGTGATGCTCTGGGCTCATTCTCAAAAGACAAGCTTGTTCTGCTGCTGACAGAGGCAATTATGCTGATCTCAGTTCCCACTGGAAGCAGCAATACAGACCACTGAAAAGTTAAAAATGAGCATATTTTCTTTTTCTTGAGTGCAAAGAGAACTCAGTGTGCTACGTGTGATTTTTAGAACTTTCTGGAAAAGGCCAACATTTTTAAACATTTTGGATGTTTAAAATTAGGTTCCTAAATCCACATGCTGGCACCTAAATATAGGTGATCCATGTTTTCAGAGGTGCTGAGCAGCCCAAGCACTCACTGTGTGCGGTGGCATTTGTGAGAGCAGAACAATTCTGAAAACGAGGCCATTTATATTAAGATGCCTATGTAGGGTTTTACCCATTTCTAGACTCCCACTTTTGAAAATCTTGACAACGTTCTTTGTGAAATCTGTATCATTCAGAGCTCTACTGTGAAATGAAAGGAAAAGTAATGCGGTGAAGAAACCTTAAGCTGGGCAGAATGAGTTCTTGCTACAGATATAAAATCATACTTTATTGACATAAACCTACACTGTGACTTACAAACTTATAATGAGAGATGTTCCCTGCTCTAAAGGGCTCATAAGATAAGACAGAGTTCATCAAGAGGAGGTACACAGGATCTGGAGAGTAGAAGAAGATGAGGTTTACTAGTGAATTTTGAAGGTGCCATGAGAGGGACTGCTTGGATTGGCAGTAGAAGAGACAACCTTTTATAAGATGCAAAGGAGAGACTGAGAGAAGGAGAGGAAAGGAGAAAGACTAAGCAGACTGGGAGGAATGCACCAACAGAGGAGCTTCAGGAGAAAATGAGGATAGAGGTGTTGGATGAATCTGTATTGTACATAAAAAAGCTAGTAGATATAGTTTGTTTTAGTTTAGCTAATGTCTGTAAAATCATTTTCATCCAACATATCCATTCAATCGGAGGCTTATCACAGAACAGACTTTGGAAAATAGATTTATTTGCTGGTTTCTTGTCCAATTGAGTTTAGTTCTGTCTTTGAACTTCATAACTAATCCTATTTATTTGTGTTCCCTATTCCAGCAGTTCTGAGTGAGTGTCTCTGCAGACCCCTCACTAGCTACTCATCACCAAGAACAGCAATTGCCTGCATAACTTCTGAAGAGAGTCTTTTCACACAGACTTCTTCACTTTGCTAAGTCATCCCCACATTTGCTTTTGATCCAATGAATCACTTTATGCAACAGGCAGAGCCTGACATGGATTATATTGCCCCTCGTGTCAAGCTAAGTGACGAGACATTTGTCTTTGTAGATGGCAAATGGGTGAGTGAGACCTACAATCAGCCACCCTTTGCTTACCAACAGAAACATTTCAGCAAGAAGATGCAGAAAGACTGGACTCTCTGGGAGGAGAACAAAGCACTCTGGGAGGAGAACAAGGCCCTTCGGATTGAAAACAAAGCCCTCCGGGAGGAGAACAAAGCTCTCCAGTGCCTACGGACACAGAACAAAGCCATCCAGGTTATTTATGATGACACCCTCCAGCAGGTTCTCCAGAAGGAGCACAATCCTTTCCCAGTCTTCCAAGAAAGGAACATAGGCTTCCAAGAGAACAAGGCCCTTCAGGTTGTTCAGGAAAAGAATATGGCTTTACAGATACTCCACAAGGAGAACAAAGCTGTCCCAGTCTTTCAAAAGGAGAACAAAGCTCTTCCAGTCTTTCAGAAGGAGACCAAAGCTGTCCCAATCTTTCAGAAGGAGGCTGAAGCTCTTCCACTCTTTCAGAAGGAGACCAAAGCTGTCCCAGTATTTCAGAAGGAGGCTGAAGCTCTCCCATTCTTCCAGAGGGAGACCAAACCTGTCCCAGTCTTCCAGAAGCAGACCAAAGCCACCCCAATTGAGGAGGAGAGCAAGGACGATGTCCCTGCCTTCCAGGAGGACAGCAAAGCCAACCTGGTCCAAAATGATATCAAGGCTAGTCCATCCTTCCAAATGAAGAGTAATGCTGTCCAGGACATTTGGGAGGAAAGCAAAGCTGTCCCAGGCCAGGAGGAGAACAATGTTGCCCCAGGCAGTCAGGAGGAAAATGTGGCCCTCCAGGCTGTCCAGAAGCTAAACCAAACCCTACAAGCTCTGCTAAAAGAGAACCAGGCCCTTCTGGAAGAGAAAAAGGCAATCCAGATTCTTCAGGAAGAGAATAAAGTCTTCTGGGACGAGAACAATCAGTTAAAGCTGCAGCTAACTGTAATGAAAGGCACAGTGTCAGAGATTATGGCCCGGATGGAAATATTGCAGAAGGAGCTCAATTCCCTTTCTCCTGTACAGCATAATGAGATGAGGAAGCCAGACAGGTGCTGGTAAATGAATATCAACCAGGAGAAATATGCAGCATGGTACTAAAGGCCTGCTAGTTAACATTTGATGAAAAAGCTCTCTCCTTGTTTCCAATAAAGTCCTGGGAGGGATTCAGAAAAAAACAAACAAACAAACAGATGGGGGTATTGATTTATTCTGAGGCTTGCATGTAATGCTTTATCTTCTTGTGTCCTCCCGTGAGACCATGCATATTCGTATGTGTCATGAAGTTGCCCTGTCAGCTATATTTTCTAGATTCACATGAGCAAAAATTTTATCTGATGATAGATTTTTAGCTCTGAGGAGCTCATGGGATTACCAACCAAGTGCTGTTTTAATTGTAACTCTAAGGATAAATAAGAAGGCCTAAACTTTGAAAAGTGGCATGTGCTTTGGCACTAAATATGAGATGCCTTAAAGAATCTTGTTTTTCAGAAGATGGCTGCTCACCACTTTCTGAAAATCAGGGCTCTTCCACGAATTTCTAAATATAGTTGATAATGTCCTAACTCAAGTATTTCATTTAGCATAAGGGAAGTTTATCTCAGATCTCATTTTCATAGCCGAAGAATGGATCATGGTACTAAAAATGAATGGCAACATATGTATAAGTGATCATGACTTACTCACATTTGTAATGTTCAAACAGAAATAAAGTTCAAACCAGTTTATTTTTATATATAAATTAAAGGGGTATTGTAACAAAGATGAAAACAATTGTGGGCCAAATTAGCTGGGAGAAAAAAAATCAGAAAATAGCGTGCTCTCATGGGACACTACTGAGAGTATCTAATTCAAGAAAAACTGCTTAGAAACAGGGCTCCTACAGTCCTACATGGGGATCCTTCACTTACGAGGTACTCCAAACCAGACCAAAAGAGAACTTCTGTCTCACCACACTTACTAACAAGAAGTCATACAAGCAATTCCCTCAAAAACTCTAGTTCTCCTGCATCATCAATAGTACTACTTCTTACAGCAGGGGTTCCCAAGCTGGGGTACGCACACACCCAGGGGGTACGAGAAGCTTGTCAAGGGGGTACGGGGAATATTTAGTAAATAACTAGATTATCCTAATTGAAATATTCCAAAAGTAGTAGTGTTAGTGAAAAAAGTTGCGGATTCTAGAGTCTAGAATTTATTTCCTTTCATATTGAATAGTGGGTATGGGAATGTTTACTAAAAGCCAAGAGGTACGGGGACTGAAAAAGGTTGGGAACCCCTGTCATACAGGGACATTTGGTTATGAAAGCCAGTCTCATCCAATAACAATCTCATCTCAACTGATCCCAAAGGACCAACCTCCCTCCAGATTAATATATAAGGGTATGTCTACACTACCCTCCTAGTTCGAACTAGCGGGGTAATGTAGGCATACCGCACTTGCAAATGAAGCCCGGGATTTGAATTTCCCGGGCTTCATTTGCATAAGCAGGGAGCCACCATTTTTAAAACCCCGCTGGTTCGAACCCCGTGCAGCGCGGCTAA